TGTGTGTGTGTGTGTGTGTGTGTGTGTGTGTGTGTGTGTGTGTGTGTAATAGACAGACACAGAGGCAGACTCACTGGGTGGCCTGTATGTCCTATTCTCTGAGGTGCCACCGTGAGGCTGCAGTAGCCTCTGGGGGTTCCAGGGGGCGCTCTGAGCAAAGATCGACGAGTCCTCCTCGATGTAGTGGACATGAGGGAGCTTCACCGCCTGCCAGGAACACAATCCCATTGCATTGTGGGTCGACAATAGGAATGTCATGAAAACTGATACTTTGGTACCAAGGATGCCAAAATTCTTACTTCGCTCACATCTTAAAATTCAAAAGAAGAGCTAGTTAATGTTAGTTAATGAAGGTTCCATTGAGTTACATTATGATAAGAGCAAAGGTAAATTATAAAGTTATGCAAAATAAAGAGATGCAAAACAACATAAACAGACAAAGGTGTCACAAAGTTTGTCTTTCTCATATGTAGGTAAGATATTCTTCCGAAGGTGTGAACATTGTTGAATACTTAAAAAGCCAACTTTGCATTTTAATGGCGGGCAAAACACAAAGAAATGCACCGACGCTGATATAAGTTGATTGGGTTATTTGTCTGGTACTTGGTGTCATGGCATTGATCACCTACTAGAAGTTACCCCACCCACCCCCCATGTTGGGCTCTACTGCAGCAGCATGCAGACTGATGAAGCGGTTACCAGGTGAAGGACGTCGCTGCTCATCTTCACCAGGAAGCCGTGCAGAGCTCCAGAGTAGGTCTGCAGCACCTCCAGCGGGGAGCCTCTCCTGGCCGCTTTGGCTCTCAGCCTCCTGATGGTCCTCTGCACGTGAGAGTCTCGCGACCCCTGACGCAGTAGGACCAGGTACTGACCAGGCATGCACCACGCTGTCTGCAGCCGAGGACATAAGAGTACAGGTGCTCTGTCCCAATGCACGTATACGGGAGAACTTAGTTTATAATGTATGTTATTGCATATATAAAATAATTCCTGCATAATAATGAGAAGATGGAGACTTCAAACTTGTCAGGTACACAACCTCAGGTAGTGTGGAGAAGATGCCCCCCTTACCTTTTTGCACTTGAAGAACTCAGCAGCGGGCTCGGCTCCGGTCTCAGCTCGAGTCCCGTCCTCGCGGATCAGATCCAGAACCATCTCGTCGTCCTCCGGGTAGTCCTGCGCGCTCGTGGCCAAAGATGCGCACAAACAGAGCGCCCAGCCAGCCCAGGCTGCTGAGGTGCGACGCATTCTTCAAACAAACAGGATAACTGTGAGGCCGAATCACACAAATCCACTGAGAGGAGTTTTTTTTCTTTTCTTTATTCCACACAGAGTTCTCCAGATGTTTTGGTGTCTCCCACTGCCCGCGCGCCCTGATAGTCAGATAACGCCTCCAACCATCTATTCTGATTTGGGAAATGAAAGAAGAAAAAAATCGAACAATTGATTCCTATAATTAAGGCGGGGACTGCTGACGTCTCCGGGGCTCACGCCACCGCTTTAGTATCGAATGATTGTCCTCCGTTAGAAACACCTCTGTGGAGGAGTCATGTTTCACGCGCGCCTCTGAAGCAGCCTGTAGTGCGTTCATGTCAAAGCCCTTTCTGTCGGTTCAAGTGTGATTGTGGATGCAGTTTTAACGTGTGCACTCAAGTATTATGAGTAGTGCATGCCGGTACAAATATGAACTCATGTTGAGAGAGGCTCAGAGCTCATATTTGTCTTTTTATTATTATTATTTCTAAGATACTTTTATTGTATTTTACTTTAGTCACTTCTGTTTCTGTTTGTGCTGAGATGCAAAAACTCCTAAATCTCTATCAAAGCTTCTTTGTTTCTGTTTCAGTTCAACTCACTTCAAACAATCACATGTATGTTTACTACTTAATATTTCTGTGAAATCAGTTGCACAATGTGTTCTTTATGGTTCTTTGCCAAGTCCGAGAAAATAACCCTGATGATGTCATGTGCACATACCGCGCAGTGCAAGAACATTACTTCCGATGGAGAGAGTTTCTGTTCTTTTTTACTTTTTGTACTTTCCGCAGCTGCCCTCACAAAGTGCGCACTGTTGCATGCAGTCTGCAGACAAACTACGTGCTTTGAACTTTCACCCTTTTGCTCATGTATCTGATACATACGTGATATCTGTCAATGAGGCTGTCATCTGTCTGTGTTCTCTGATGGATTGTGGGTAAAAATAGCCAGAAAAGTATGCTGGCTTGCGTACTGAAAATAAGACCGAATGCAGAAGAGCGTCCTGGTATTTTTTGGCAAACTGCATTTTAAAAGTTGTGTATTAGGAACTTCTAAACCCTTTACCTGGTATACTCAATAGTGTGTTAGTATGGGTATTTGAACGCATGGTTTTCTGCAGCTAAATCAACTAAATTGAACTTTGACCGTAAATATGTGACCACTACGGTGCACATCTGGCATTCCAGCATTCAGGAGGCAGAAGTTGTATGACTCTGACAGTTCACTGTTAATTTACGGACACATTATCACGTTTTTATGATAAATGTGTTTGCAAACACCTCTCATTTTACTGCATTAGGGTCTGACAGTCTGCCCCTCTCAGTCCTGGTTCTGGTTCTCCCATGCCTCCCTTCCTTCCAGCGGGTCCAGCAATACGTCCTGGGTCTCCAGCAGCGTGGTGTCGGTGTTTTCTCCCAGAGAGGAGAAGCTCTGCTCCTGGAGGAGGAGGAGGAGGCGCTGCTGCTGCAGGGAGCTGAGCTCTCCTCCTCCCTCCGGAGCTCCGACTGCAGGTCCAAGGCTGCAGGTGAAGCCGGATCTGGGTCTGTCCACGGTGGACTGGTCTCTGCTGGAGTCTGAGCTGAAGGAGTTTCTGGTGAACCTTCATGATTTCATCTGATTTCACTTGAATCCAACTGTCGCAAATAGTTCACTGATTAAATCACTATAAACAAAAGTTCTTAAAAATCTACAATTGAGTAAAAATGTTGCTTGTTTACAGGATAATGAACCTTTGTTTCTTAATAATGCATTTAATACTTGACCTCTTTCTGTACAGGGCTTGTATAAAGTCCATGAATGTGAGCTATGACTTCACAGTTATTACTATTCCTCCTCGGCGTTGTGGAGTTTGGTTTTGCCGTTAACGGTCGCTCTCTTGTTGCTTCTGTCTGCGCACCCTCTGGTGTTTAGGAGAATAGTGCACAGAGCAGAAGCGCCTTTGTGTGTTTGCTCATATAGCTCGCTCATCATCGGTGGAGTCTCACGCCACGGTGCCGGACACAAGTATAAATAAAGTTTGGTTCCCCAGAGAACCCCTATAATCTCATGATGAGGCCAAAAATGTGCCTTAATGGAATTAATGTAGGTCACTGCAGTGTCACTTACTGTCCCCCAGGAGCCCTAAACACACACACACACACACACACACACAGTGTCTCTATATTTCATTCAGTAAATAGTGCCATCCTCTGGAATATAAATGCAATACACATTCAACTTTATTAACAAATACAAAGTGATACAAAATGCACTTTTATTCGCTGTAAAAAAACAAAATTTAAAAAATGCACCAGAGGATCTCTTCTCTGTCCCGAGTGTGGTGGAGTGTTTGGATTGGACCAATGAGGACTCTGATGCTGGACCGTGTCCCTCTTTCAGACCAGGTGCAATGTAGGACAGCTGTGGCTCATCAGGGCTTCAGGAGGAAGTCTGCTGTTACTCGACTTTTGGCCACAGAGGCTCGGCAGAGCCTCAGCACGCCTAAAATTAAATCAAAAGAGGGGGGAGTAGGGGAGAGACAGAAATAGAAGGTCGGTTCTCACGATTTGTCCTCATTTTCTTACTTTTTTTAATCCGAGGGAAGGTTTTGCTGAGCATGCATGTCGGTTATCACAAACACTCACATGGAGGAGCTGAGCGGTTCAAACCTCCTTTTTCCACCCGCTGGCCACGATACTAACCGAGACTCAAGCGGCTTAATCACAGGAACGTCACTCTGGTCCGTATGTGTCCAACTAAGCTTCTCCTTTTTCAGTCACAAACCTTCAGGCCTCCATGTCTCCCTTTTCTCTTCTATTCCACATTTACTCTCCTGTTCCTCCCTCCGCTCCTCTGCTGCCAGAGCTACTCGATAATAAGATAAGATATATATTATAAGATAATAAAATCAGCATCTACAGTGTATTGGTGCAGATCTTTGGTCCCTTCAGACACATTACACAGCTGCTGTCGCCATGTTCGCCCACTCGATGATGGCTGTTAGCATCCTGAGATCCACAGACGGAACCACAGGGAATCATTAAGGCCTGAACGAACACCCACTTGTTTGTGGGGCCATTAGGACAGAGGTTGTGTGTGTGTGTGTGTGAGAGTGTGTGTGAGGCAGTACCTTGCTCCAGTAAACACCACATCCTCTCGACTTTTCTCCTGAATCTCAGGAGCCAAAATGACCTGAAAAACACACACTTTCCATTTCCAAATCAATTTCGGTTGGGCAGCAAATCACAGGTTATTTCACTGTGTCTTTCTCCCCAACACACACACACACACACACACACACAGAGTCTGTGTCTACCTTGGGATAGCACTGGCAGAGGCTCCACACAGTCCCGATACACACCATGGTGACGCCCAGAGCGCACATTGCGGCATAGACGTGCGGTTGCTCCTGAGTCATGATGAAGAGGCCGACTGCCGCCACACACATCCCCGCCGCTATCAGCCCGTATCGATACGGTTTCCCTTCGACCATCGGTGCCACTGCTGCCGACTAATGAAGCTCTTATTCGTGTAAACCTTTAAAGAAAGAATCAAGCGCCTGTTGCAAAGCGAAGGGAAGGATTGGTGGTGTTCTTATGTCGGAAGCTTGAAGGTGAGGGTGGAGAAAGCACAGTGAGGGTTCCACTCTGCTGGTTATTACAGCCTGCAGACAGCCTGGTCAGGTGTAAGATTGCAGGTGTGTGTGTGCGTGTGTGTGTGTGTGTGTGTGTGTGTGTGTGTACCCGATAGGTCACCTTGCCTCAAGCTGCTGGCAAAAAAAGGAGACTCGCAACTGAGCTGTTTGAGCCGAGTGAGTGTTTATGCTTGCTTGGTTTGAACATGATTTTAAATAAGTCTGCATTTCTCTTCTCCGCGTTCTAACTATTTAAAAAGCCATCGTTTCTCAGTGCGCCACCGACCACAGAGAGCTCGGCAGCTGTTCATCAACAAGTTTATAGTGACATCACAACAACAGAACAGTGGACATGGATACAAAGCCGTGGTGTTAACATTATGCCATCACTGGTTAAGGCACTTTGCATTGCAGCAAGCTGTCGATGAGCAAAGTTAAGACAGAAAAGAGTGCAGACCATAGACCGTGTATAAAGATGGACGACATGACTCTGTGGATGTATGAAGAAGGAAAATAACATTAGTGCATTTTACAACTTTTAGGACTTAATTATTTAAATAAGTTCTATTTATGGGTTTTGGAAAGTTCATGGGAAAAACTCTTTTTGGGCATCATGTGACGGACCCTAAATTGTAGACAGCTGCCTAAAAGTGAAGCCAGAACATCTTGATCGCCCCCTGGTGGCTGGCTGCAGTTTAAGTCATAAACGATTGGTTCAGACGGGGCATTGATACCGCGGCTCCACCGCCTACCGCGTCACTACTGCACAGACTCAAAAGCGCAAGATGGCAGCTCCTTCATGGGGATATTTTGGAGACGCGTGGTCCATCTGGTCTATGTTACAGATACAAAGAGCAGCTGTGAAGCTGTGAGGAAAGTTCTTATTGCGCTTGATGAACAGTGCTCTGCAGCCACAGTAGTAGGTCACATAACTCCAAGCAGGCCAATAAAATATCCACATTCGCAGCCAAACCGCTGACACAAATCCATTAATGTGATTGTAAAAGTTACATAATGCTGGTTCTCAAGAAAGGCCCTTAGTGTAGCGAGCGGAGCGGTTGTAGTGATCATTTCAATTCCTTTCCCAATCAATCACAACACACACGTTTATCAGACACAGAGGCCACACTGGGGCTCAGCCTGTACAAATACCAAGTTTTTAACCAGCCGCAGTGTCTCGGTGCTTCTTGGCTTGTGTTGGAGTTCAGAGCAGCTGTCTTTAAGGCACAGAGGAGCACCGACTGCTCGATCAAGGTTCCCGCTGAGAAAAAACAAAAAAGGCACTAACACAAAGTCCGCCAGAGCGAGAGGTTAAAGCTGCTCGCTGTGCTCCTGGCTCTTCATCACGGTGTCGTAGGATGGGGGCGGCTCCATGGTCCAGGGCGGGGGGGTGGATGGGAGCGAGGGTTCAGGCTCCGGTGCTCCGGTGACAGAGTCCTCTGACATCTCTCGACGAATTCGGTCCAACCTCCTGAAGAGAGAGAAAGAGAGAGAGAGATGACAAGTGTACTAAACCGCTTTTCAGTGCTTACACTTCAACTCCTTTCAGTGTTTTCATTGACACTATAAATTCTATTAGTGCTTACACTCCAACTGGCTTCACACTTCTTTAATTGTGTCCTATATTTCACCAGCTGACACTTCAGATCTTTCACCACTTGCACTTCAGCTGACAGTCGACTTCAATGATTTCTTTCCATCCACCACTTCAACGTATCCTCATACGATGGTTCGTATGATATTTTACGGAAAGTTATTTTATTTTTCATGTGTTTTCCTTTGAATGTCCAGCAACACGAGCGGTCACTTTACCTGCACAAGCACAGTGTTAAGGTAAAAGAACTACTGTGGTTCAATAATATTCCATTGGTGGTCGATACTGTTATGGTGCGTTTGCCCATATAGCTGGCTATATGAAGCGCTGGCTTCATCCCAACTTCCTTTCAGTGATCACACTTAAACATTCACTTCAAGTATTTTCAGCAGAAACACTTCAACTGATTGTCAACTTCTTTCAATCACACTTCATCTTAAAGCTCAACTCCTTTTAGGGCTTTCACTTGAACCGATTATATAACATCTAACACTTCAACTGCTTTCAGTACTTCGACTGTAATTTAAAATTCAAGCGCTGTCGGTTCTTACATTTCCTGTAATTTCTTTTATCCTTCCACAATGTAAGAACACCCTCTTCGTACTCCTTCAGCTATTCTGAACACATTTATCCCGGCATTCCACCAAATGCATTCTGCTGTTTGCATATTATTCCCCTGTGAGGATTTTATTTCATCATCCTCTAATGAGAAACATTTGTCAGATAGTTTTAGGGTTAGAAATACAGATCAGTCTGCGTTTTGTTCCGCGTCTGCCGGTAGAGGAACTCCTCGTGACGGATGCTGCTCCTGGCGTCTCTGTTTCTCGGTGCTGGACAAAGAGCAGACACGTCTTGTGTAATCCTGCAGCCGATCGTAGATTACCTCACACACACGCAAGAGTGCTGTTTTCTCCATGAACTACTTCTCCAATCAATCCATAATAATCCATGCTTTCCAATTCTTGGTGTCACAAGTCCAGTGTTTTTAAGATCCTAATTTGGTTCCTGCTCTTTTCCAAACTGTGCGATGTAACCGAGGTGTTGAGATTCGTTCAACAACAACAACAACCCGACCGTTTGTCAGCTCGGCGCCCTGGACGCTGTGCTCTGGTATTTGTCTTTATGGTCGTTTATTTATCTTGAACAACAGAAGGGGGAAGCCTGGAACGTTCTTTGCTTCCAATGTTTAGGACAGCAGGGTTTGTTTATCGCTAGAAAAAAGTTATTTTTGCCCCCCCCAAGGATGACATGTGAGAGGCCTATCTTTGGTGATCCCTTCATCCTTCATCAGGTCAAAACTCTGTGCAGCATTTTGGTTTTTGACAAAATACCTGCAAGACTAATATGATGAAAAATAAATAACAACTAGTAAGTTGCACTCAGCAGTAGAGTGCAGATCTCCAATAGGTGTGTCCGCAATGACCACTGCTGTAATGTGGGATTTAATGAATACAACCAGTGCTGCAAAGCGTCATCAAACAGACTTCATTCAAGCTGACAAACAAGTGGTGGTGTAACGTTACACAAGCAATCGGCTTGAAGTCGTCGTACAATACAATCAGGCTAAAACACGAGGTGAACTCACCAAGCTAAGCAGCGGCTGAGTGGTGGCGAAGTACAGCAGTGTGTGTATAGTGTGTTCAGCTATTAGCCCAACACACCGAACAGTAAAAGCCAGTTGCAGAGCAGCGGCCCAGAGGTACTCAGCAGCATGTGTGCTGGTAGTCCTGTTAGCTGGTAGCGGCAGCGACCTGTCAATCACTGTGTAGCCCCGCCCTAAAGCATACCCTGCTTTATGGTCTGTTTGATAACCCTGTATTGAAGACTTCATTTTCTCATAGACTTCTATACAACCAGAGGAGTCGCCCCCTGATGGACACTAGAGAGAATGCAGGTTTAAGACACTTCCGCATTATCTTCACTGGTCCAAACACTGGGGGGATGGTCTACCCCCCCTGTCTTCTGTCACACTTTTATGACATGCCTACCTTTGTATAGCCAGGGCCTGCTGCGGGCTGAAGCGGGTTCCCGTGCGGGGGTGCAGCAGGGAGTGTCCGGGCACTGCCACCTGGAGGTTCTTCATCGCCATGCAGATTCCACTGACCAGCAGGGCCACGCCCCCCATGCCCAGGAACATCCCGAGTGCAAACAGCGGGGCCGACTGTTGGGCCAGGCCCACGCCCAGGGCCACCACCCCCCCAGCGGTCATCAGCACGATGCCCAGGCAGAGCAGCATGCCCCGGGGGAACGGCATCTCCGGAGCACCCCTGCTGCCTTCTCTGAATGAATTCACGTCTTGCAGCTACAGCTGCGCCTCAGCAGCAGCAGCCAGTCTGCAGGAGAGGAGAGGGATCAGATACACAGCATCCGTGTGTGTGTGTGTGTGTGTGTGTGTATGATATGATCAGAAGCAAAATGAAGCTGACACCAGAGGGAATAACACGGATATGCAACACGTAAATCATCCCAGTGCGTCTGTGCCAATAAGCATCGCTCCTCTCTCTCTGTACCTGATAGGAAGTCGCGGTTTGGAGCTCGACTCAGCCGCTGCGTGGGCTGAAAGCTTCACCATCTCTTTTCTCCTCTTCATCAACTTTCCCTCCGCTCATATTGCCCCGTGTGGCTTCTCCCCTGAAGAAGAAACTCAGAAAGCAGCTCCGGTGCTGCGCCCTCCCCGCCGCCGCCTCCGCCGCGCCTCTCTCTCTCTCTCTCTCGCTGCTCCTCTGCCGCGTCTTTGCGTTTTTCTCCCCGCAGCAGAAGAAGCATATCCGGCTTTGGAGTGATTACGACACCGAAAATCTGTAGTAGAGGAGTTGGTGTCGCATGCGGGCCGCGCGCTGTTTGTTTTTCATCCAGCAGCAGTGTGAGGAAGTGTTTTTATTTTTTGTTATAAGAGGAAGGGTTTCCAGTGACGAGGAATGGAGGGCAGGGCGGGCTGAACACTGTCACATTGCTTCTGTCTGGGCCAAGCTGTGTGCACAAGGGGAGAATAATAGTCCCCTCAGTTTGTTGTTTTAAGACGAGGTGGAGCTCTGCTGGGGGGGGGGGGATCTTCACCGGCCTACATTTAGAGTGTTATTGATTATGAATGAGCTGGAGAGGTTCGGTCACAAATCACGAGCCTTCACATGGACAGCTGATCTCTTTGTTTCTCACAGTAGATGCTCCAAATATTGGAAATGTGGATTTAATCATCCTTTTTATTTTATTTGAGGGCTCGGCATATTATATCAACATCATGAAACGGGACTAGATGTCGTCTTTGGATTTTT